GACTGTACGAGGTGGACTGCCTCCACTTGACCACTTGCCTCTGTCTAACGTAGGCTGACTCCGAAAGGCCACTTCTAGAAACCTCTGTCTTGGCCTTTCGGTACTGTAGCAGCTACGACTTTGCCCTTTCAGGTAAGTAGTAGCTACGACCTTGACCCTTCAGACAGTCTACAACTACGACCTCTGGACTATCTAGACTCCTACCCTACAGGTCTACAGTTCGAATCCCTTCTACCCTGTGGCCTACAAAATCCTACCTACCACTGGCGGTCCTACAGGTCGCAGGTTCAATTCTACGGGTTGACACAGATACTGTACACACAGGTAAGGTGGGGATCTAGGGATCGAGCCCTGGGATCTGCATCGGCTACTGCAAACCGATGAATACTGTTTCACTGCCAAGTAACTTTTGTTATGAATTCTTGTCTGGATGCATCTCCTGTCCACAGGTAGGCTTTGGGTTTCCTTTTTAGGTTCCTTACCGTTAGATGGTCCGGAGTCCAGAAGGCTGCTACATAGCACCTCATGGCAACAATGGACAAGTTTAATATTATTATAATGAGGTGTGTATTTTGCCCCAGATACTTAGTTTACTTGTCATCTTGGCTAAGAGGCCAGGGGACATTTCTGTCTCTGCTCCATGTTTTGTCATTTGGATCCCTAGGACTCTCAGCGGGTCCCTAGGGTGCCAAGTCATTCCATTGGGGGTGTTCTGAGGGGGATCAATACTTTCGTCCGTTAGCCACCATCCCACTGGTTTTTACCAGTTAATTCGCATTTCAGAGGCTAGATGATATGCATACATTGCTTTGGTGAGCGCTTCAAAAGATGAGTTGGAAGCTCTTATGAGTACAGTCAAGTCGTCTGCAAACATGATCGTAGGGGGTATGTGGTGTGTTCTATTGAGGTCCTCGAACGGGTTTACGAGTCTTTGTATGAACGGGTCTTTCCTAAGGAAGGATGCTATTGACTCCATGATGAATAGGAATATAGGGGCTGCTAATGGGTCTCCTTGCCTTACATTCTAGACATCTTGTATAGATCTGATATGTGTCCATTTACTTGAACGGCCCCGTATGCATCATTGTATAGAATCCTGACCCATTTCCTTAAGTTTAGTCCCACTCCCATCTTTCCCCGGCATTGTTGGAGGAAATCCCAGTTTACCTGGTCGTAGGCTTTCTCAAAGTCAAAGAAGAGGATTGCTGCATTTAGTTTCTTATCTTTATTGTATCTTACTGATTCCACTAGTGTCATTACGTTGTCTAATATGAATATGCCTGGGATGAAGCCTGTTTGATCTATGTGGAAGCATTTTTTGGTGATTTTGCTTATTCTGTTTGCTAGAAGTTTGGCTAGGATCTTGTAAGCTACTGTTAATAGTGTGATAGGACGGTAATTTTTTATATGAGTAGGGTCTCCTTTCTTGTATAGTAGAGTGACTATTCCAGTACTTGGATATTTCCCTAAGTCGTTTGTAGCCCATGTTGATCTTATAAACCTGCAATACTCATCTCCTAAGACCTCCCAGTACTTTTGCCAGAATTCTTTTGACATTCCATCCTGCCCAGGGGTCTTTCCCGATTTCATCGAGTCCAATGCTCTTCTAATTTCTTCATTCGTAATGGGTGCATCTAGTTCTTCTACTAGAGTTGTGCGGATTGTTTTGGCCAAGTGTTTCAAAAAAATTCTCTTCTTTGTGTCACCGGCTCTGGAGCCGGTTATACTGTTTTAGAGGTGTAGAGGTTTTTGTAAAAGGATTCTGCTATTGTGAGCATTTTCCTTGGCTCTGTGGTAGAGCCCTCTTCTCCTCTAAGTTGGTGAATGGCGGAGTTTCTTCCTCTTGCTCTGATTTTTTGGAAAAAATACTTCGTCATTTTTTCCCCTTCCTCCCGTTCTTTGATTCTTGCTCTTAGTCGCATACCCCTTGCTTTCCATGAATTCCAAGCGCCCAATTCAGCTCTTGCTTTTGCTAGTGAATCTTCATATGAGGTCTGGCCTGGGTTACTGATAAGGTAAGTTTCTGCTACTTGTACTGAATTACCACGCATTCTATTCGTGTGAAGACGGTAGACCAAGCCAATGCAATAGTGGACTCACCTCACTTTGGCGTTGGACATGCAGACCAACTACTGACACAACAGGGGTTTAAAGTTTAAACCTATATTTAGCAGCGCTGTACAGGTGCTTGTCAAGCTTTGCCTAAAAGGGCCTTTACCCGATCCAGACCCTGTATGACGAATGTAGCATAGTGGGGTCACTCGCCCAGAGCCCAACTCGTGAAAGTAGATCAAAGGACATGTTCTCTGGGTCAAAAGTCACATCCTAGCTAAGTAAAAGTCAATGTCAAAGGTCACAGTTGTGCCCCTAGACGAACAGTTGCAACATTCAGATATGGGAGTCACATTTGTTCATCCAGGGGGTGTGCAAGTCATGTTTGTTTATGCAGGAGATGTGTCTGTACGTGCAGTATGTGTGTCTGTCCGTGCAGTATGTGTGTTTGTTTGTGACGCGCAACCTCACGCCCTGTGCTGTCTTCCGTTCGGAGTGCTAAAGGTGCGGAACGAAGGCCCAGAAAAACAGCAAGATGGGGTGTGCCAAGGATTTTTGGAAAATTGAGTGTGGGGACATAGACAGAACTGAAATCCCCCGTGTTGGCCCGATGAACTAAGTCGGTTGTCTTCGCGCATCGCGGAATGCGCGCGCGGGCACGGCGCGAAAAGAGAAAGATCCAATTTCAATCCAAAAAGTATTGTCGAGTTTCCCACCGCGCTACGGATCTTCGCTTAGAGCGGACGGGCTTCGGTACACTCCGCATGTCCCCATTCCTTATCAAGTCCCGACATCGCTCGTTGGTCAGTTCCGAGTCTGACGTGGATGGTCTCAGCCAGACACAGACAGAACTGAAATCCCCCGTGTTGGCCCGATGAAGTACGTCAGTCGCTTTCGTGCGTCGTGGAATGCGCGTGCGGGCACGGCGCGAAAAGAGAAAGATCCAATTTCAATCCAAAAAGTATTGTCGAGCTTCCCACCGCGCTACGGATCTTCGCTTAGAGCGGAAGGGCTTCGGTACACTCCGCGTATCTCGTTTCCTTCAAGTCCCAACGTCGCTCGTTGGTTAGTTCCGAGTCTGACGTGGATGGTCTCAGCCGCGTGGCTCTTTCACTCCGTACCCGGTAATGGAAGCCCTTCGATTCGTAGCGATCGAAACGCTGGCACTCAGTGCACAGGGTTCGAGGCCAATGGGGTGCCACTGCCGTCCACGGAATGACGATCAGCTCGTTAAATGGCAACAGTACTGAGTAGGGTGGGAAGTGCGTATCGATAATGACAAAGCCCGCCTCCACGAACCCGAAACAATGATTTCAGGAAGGAAGTAATATTGTCCGCCGATCCGTGCAACAGCTTCTCGTACGTCCCACTCACATACACGTGTCCTTTCCTCGTTGTAGGGGAAGGGACGCGTCGGCGAGGGAGATACGGAAGGCTGGCGCCCGATCGAGGAACGGCCGTTAGTCCACATATCAACCAATCAAACGGGGTTTACACAAATCCTTGAGACGTCATCAAAAAGCGCGATCGAAGAAGAACTAATTGGCATCCCCCTTCCTTGGAACCCGCACAATCATGCATGAATTGGTTTGGAGTTCTGAGAGACTAACCCGCGATTCAGTTTCAGCAGACCAGATCAACAAATACGAGGCGCTTAGCTTTTTCAAAGCTGCCCCACAGACGGTCTGTTGATGTCGTGCAACATAAGGCAGATGGCATGCGCAGTGCATCCAGAAGTACAGATCTAAAGACTCTTGCATTCTCGAACAAAATCCCATCGAGTGCTAGGTCTAATCAATCGCCGAAATACAAACATTTCTATACATACATCCACTGTGGAAGGTGCGAAAATGACGAGGGAGCATAGGTCAGAGATCAATCGAGGGATTGTACACACACATCCACCGTTCACAAGACAAGAAGATTAATTTCTTGGCATCTGGGGATTACCCAGGAAACTAATGGAAGAGTCCCGGAAGAAGTTCTCTTTCGCAGGAAATCACGAGAGTTCACTTCGGGTTACAAGAGAGACAAGCCCACAACACATCGCTATACAAGTTAGAGAGAGAGAGAGAGAGAGAGAGAGAGAGAGAGAGAGAGAGAGAGAGAGAGAGAGAGAGAGAGAGAGAGAGAGAGAGATGGGAGGGATAGACCAGAAAAGCCGAGACAGAAGACACCAGAATTCAACAAGGGAACTTTCGGCTTCACAACCCTGAACTCACACCAAAAGAAATGATCCGCAATCATGAAGGCGCATTCGCCGTGAAATTCCAATATGGCCCCGGGCCACTCATCCACTCAACTCCAATCACAAATCCTCACACCCGC